AATAGTACCTGCCCTAGGGCCCTTGCCATGGCAAGGGGCTAACTGGTGGAAATGCTCTAATATGAGTCAATGAGCTAATTGTGTTGTGAGCTAATTGGGTTTTTGGGTTTTACTAGCCTTTTCACCGAATATTCAAATTTTAAAAACTCAAAGATCCCAACTTTCCTCAGAAACAAACAGGAATGGCAGCAGTTTCATCGTCTCTCAGCTTACCATCAAGAACCCCTGAACCCTCTGTTCGGAAAATGTCAATCCTGAATAAGTTCCACAGTGTCGCTTCCAGAACCCACTGCAATTTCAACGCCATTTTCAAACCATCCACTCTAACCCTCTTCATCTCCACCCAAAGACCCCATGCACATATCAAATCTCCACCTCGCAACACAATCCGATGCCTGTTCACTGGAATTGTCGAGGAAATGGGTCAAATCAAGCAACTGGGTACCGCTGAAAACGGCGGTTTCGACATGAAAATCGGCGCCAAAACCGTCCTCGAGGGCGTCCACCTCGGCGATAGCATTGCCGTCAACGGGACGTGCCTCACGGTGACTGAATTCGACACCCAATTGTCCGATTTCACCGTCGGTTTGTCGCCCGAGACGCTTAGGAAGACGTCTCTGATCGAGCTCGAACCAGGCTCACTTGTGAATCTGGAGCGGGCGGTCCAGCCCACGAGCCGAATGGGTGGGCACTTTGTGCAGGGTCATGTGGATGGCACAGGGGAGATAGTGTCAATGGATCCTGAGGGGGATTCTCTATGGATCAAGGTGAAGGCATCAAAGGAGCTGTTGAAGTATGTGGTGCCGAAAGGGTTTATAGCAGTGGATGGGACTAGTTTGACTGTGGTGGATGTGTTTGATAAAGAAGACAGCTTTAATTTCATGTTGGTGGCTTATACTCAGCAGAACGTGGTGATTCCGTTGAAGAAGGTTGGGCAAAAGGTGAATTTGGAAGTTGATATACTCGGCAAGTATGTGGAGAGGCTTCTCAGCAGTGGATTTGTTGAGTCAATCAAATCTTCATGACCCTTAAGGTACTCAATTTATAGGTAATTTGTTTATTTTCTGCTATCCTGATTTGAGCCCATGTATTATTACCTCTTGTAATGCATGCTTTTTCTTGTCTTTTAATGTTTAAATTAAACAATAATTGTTTACGATATGCAGATTTGTGTGGTTTTCTGTTATTCGGATTGATTTTTAGTTCTGTTTTTAGTAAGCAGCTGTGAGTTTCTTTGGGCATGTCCTTTTCTATCAAATGAAGAATAATAGAGTTGCAGGAAAGATACGTGTATTGAGTAGGATGATCCTTAGAGAAAACTTTGAAGGGGTGACGTAATGCTTGAAAACAGGGGCGTCTAAATGTGGTGTTCTGGTATGGAACTGATCATGGTGAAATGGATTGATAGCTTACCCTAAGCAGTGACTGTCATAGTTTTCTGAGTAGAGTTTGATTGAAGGATTTTCTGAGTTAGTTAACTTGATCTTTAGTAAGTTAGATACTTAAGGCTTGACTACAGGAACAAAAACAAACGAAAGCAAATAAGAAAAACAGAACAAAATAATCTCGTTTTATCTCAATTTCAGTTAATGTTTTACAAATCGTATTTCAGATAATGAATGGCCTACCTTTAAAAAATCAGAGATTTTCTTGCCGCTCGATATAGTTTCTAAATGTGCAATCATCATGTTGAACATTTTATTGTAGAAACTCTAATGGAATTTTGTTTATTCTTTCTTGTGCTTAACTAATAAGTGAAAATTAAGAATGTATTAGATTACTAAGTTTCTGAGCTTCTGCCAAATCCAGTCAATGGTTTACCAAGTGACATGTAAAAATGAAATTTTTTGCACTAATATGAGCTTGGGAGAAAGAAAAAAGAAAAAAAAATATGCAGCAAGTAATTTCTATTACAAAGATCTAGGGGTATTAACTGTCTTTCAACGGATTAATCATAAAGAGTCTTTATTTGAGCAATATAAAGTTCTCTAATGCTGTCAAGTTTCTTACTGTTCTTTTTCTCATTTTCTTTGCAAGGTCATCACTGGTGCAGTTTTGTACACAACCACACTTGTTGTTTGGATAGTAACTGTCATGACCGGCGACTCTAAGAGAGCTGTTTAGTTTTTTGTTGTATGATAGTTAGAGCTTAATTGTATTGGCGTTCTGTACACCTTCTCCTTAAGGACTTAATGGTTTTGGTTTTAATAAAAGGTTCACATTCAGTAAAAGTTCAGCGTTTGATTCATGTAAAAATGTGTGGTTTCTGAAGATAAAAAAGAAATAAATTTGGCATTTGGTTGTAACCACCGTATTGTGAAGGACTACTTCAGTAACAGACTCTAGCTGAAATCTTTGTTTTGCAGACTAATTCAGCAATAACACACACACATGCACGTGCACACGCAAACAGACGTTTATGGCTCCCCTGTTTACGCACGCACGCACACACAGTGTAACCCTCCTCAAGTATCTTTGCCCCTAAAATGCACTTTAAGAAAACCATTCTGCATTGGCTCTGATGAAGATTCCTTTCATATTCTTCTCACTATGGTTAACTGAGCTATGTTTATTATGAGTGATTAATAGTTTCAGTCAATTCCTTCTCTGCACCAGAATGTCTTATACTTTGTGTCGATTCGTGCTTTTATGATATTCGAGCTCCCTTTCTTATATTGCTGCCTGCTTTGCATTTTTCTGTGTTAAATCTTTTTCCATAACCCTTTTGATGTGCGCATTAGACTCATTTTCCTGATGTAGAAATCTAAGTATATTACTATTTACCCAAAGAAAAAAAAAGGTTAAATAGATTATTCCTTAATTTCCTATTTATAATTGGAGAACAAATCTTGTGGTTCCATGCCATTAAAAGCTTGCATCTGTTTGTTGGAAGCTCAATGGGCAATATAGCTCGCCTCTCTGTTAAAAGTGTAGAGCTCAGGTTAGTTTCTCACTTTCGTAATCTATAGATTTTTTAGGCACCTTCTTTTTAGAGCATCTCCAGCGCAGGTCGGGCTAGGGGGGAAAGGCTGCCCGACGCAGCCCAAGTTCACTCCAGCGCAGGGCCCGTAGCCCGGGTTGGTGGGGGGTCCCACGT